AACTGAATAATTGTTTATTTTATATGGGTATGGGCATGGCGCGACGCATACATCCAGATGAAAATGCAAAAAAAAAAGACTGTCGAACCTTTTTAATGACAATGGAGAGTTTTGACCTAGATTTAGAGCGCGCATTGGTGATTAAATCCGCAGATGCGATGCATACACTAATTTTTACAGAAAAGTTGTTGCAAGAGTTGCGTCACTTACTGCGAAATGATGAAGTTCTTATCTCTATTAGAAGCCATAAACATAGTCAGTACTGGTGGTATCCTGAGCAAGATTCACGGACACAAGTACTAGTTGTAAATGCTTATACATCTACAGCTATCTTGGAGAAAACACAGCAGCTGTCTGAGCCATTTCAATATATATCCAAACTCACAACTAAATCCTGTACTTATCAATATTGTAAGGGTCGACGTCGTAGACGAAAGAGTATTGAATTTGATGATCCTGTAGAAGATGTCGAGAATGTCATACACGATAACGTTGTAAGTTCCAAAGAGGTTCGCATGTATCGTACAGAACTTTATGGCCATTCTGTGCTTGGGGTTACTTTTACAAAGGCTGATATAGACTACCGTGTTTTACTTCATATGACAAACAACCCACAGCTGAATGATATTGAAACAAAAAATACAACGTGCTTAGTGAAATCGGGAAGTAAACCAACAGCTTTATTACTTCGAAATTTATGTAAGGAAGCACGACCAGTCTATATATATATTCGCGCTGAAAATATATTAAGGAATTGGGATTCGTTTCGCGAAACAGGTGCTTATTATACATTCTCCACTGAAATGCGTAGTTGTCGAATTTGGAAATTTGCACGGCCAGAACCCAGCTGGCAGACTATTCTGTGCATTCCCGAAATGAATAAAAGTGTAAGCAATGGTATCCACTGCCGCTGTAATTTCATTAGCGACCTTGACGCTGATGCCAAACCAATTATTGCTGTCCGAATGAATCTTAAATGCCACTTGGAGCGCCCAGTGGTCGGACGTAATTACGAAATTATCATTTGCTATATTGTAATCCCAATAGTGGCAATAGCGTTTCTTTTAATTCAAATGCACCGAGCAGCGTTCTGGGACAAGCCCTTATATTTGGAGGACGTATACAGTGGCGAGCTTTGTCGCTGTGGTGACATAATAATCCGAATTTCATTTGGTGGTCGTTATCACTCTGGATCTTCAGCAAACATATTTCTTTTATTGCAGTCTTCTCGAGGCAAAAGGGAGATATTCGTTCATCAAGATCCAGTTAAAACGGCTTTTAATCGCAACTGCACGATTTTTTTGCGACTTGACAGAGAATTTGTGCAGTTGCCAGTGCGTCTTGCTCTTGGTCATGATAACACTGGCACTCATCCACATTATTTTTGTCGCAGCATAGTTATTACTGACATATTAACGGAGAAAACACAACACTTTCGTATTAATCGGTGGGTGCGTACATCGCCTGGGGCAGGAAGTAAAATGCATTTGGAGTCAACTATGGTTCTGGATTTCGCAACAACTTCTCCAAAGTCTATATATCGATGGCCATCCCGATTCGCGATTGCTTTTGAGCTATGCATGGGAAAGTGGTACTTATTTCAATCTATAATAGGTCCATGGCGTTTCGGAATAAATCGCAATTCCTTAAGCAGATGGGAACGTAGTTGTATATATGTGGGTAAAAATTTTGTAGCAATATGCATAGTTATCATATTCTTTGGACGTGCCGAGCCAATATTATGTGACCCAAGTCCAAAACGGTATAATGATTTTAATATTGTGGTCTGGCTTTGTCTTATATGTTTAACTGCAAGCTGTATAACTGAAATTCTTATGATTATATTTCTTAGAATGTTATCAAAATATAATTAGAAAAATATCTTAAATTAATGTAGTTCTATACTCGTTGAAACGGTTAAAGAATCTATTAGATTTGTGCACTGTATATCGTGCAGTCTTTCTAACCGTAATAGTATAAGTTAACTCACCTTTATTGATAAAGGCTCAAAAAATAACTTGTGAGCACTTCACTAGATCCACCAAATGCAAATGCTGGGCTTCAAAATTGCTACAGGCAGCAAGAGCTTCGCACACAGGCATACAAATGTTCATAGTACATGCAGCATACTGTAAGTGTGTGTGTGCATGCTGGTCGTGAAAACATTTTCATTATGCGCACCAACGCCTTCATACCCTTCCCACAAATGTTAACGAAAACGCATGGCAAACGGCTTGAAGAGTTCGGAATGCTCTTCACTCAGAAGGGAAGACATGGGTTCTTGCTGCGACGAAATTTCAATTTTCGTGAGCGCTGCTTGTGCTCACATGCATACATACATATACATATTTGAGAGAGCAGAGAGCATCGTGAGATAGAGAGAGCAAGGGAAACATTGAGCGCAGAGGGATCCAGTGATGTCATTTTTTTCTGAGCAAAAAAAGCTGGATCAAGGAAAAAAAAAAGCTGAAAAAAGCTGGATTCAAGAGGGGGGAAAAGCTGAAAAAAGCTGGATTCAAGGGAAAAAGGTTGACAAAAAAGCTGATTTTAATTACATATGTATATATGTACCAAACTATAGGTATTTTTATTAAACATAAATCATATCCTTGACAAATAGACAAAGCACTGCCTCCGGCTCAATTGTCTTTGTGGGCAATTGAACAATAGATAATTTGTTTTTTTTTTTGCACATAGCCCTCCATTGAGCCTGCGTGCTTTTTTGTAGACGCATGCGCTTGCAAGTCACTTAATTTGGCAGTTATTGTGCAATTGCAATAACTGCAATACGCCCGTGTTGCGTCTGTGGGGTCCTTCCTTAGCCAATCCTTGAATTCTGTGGCCCGTAGCCACACATCTCGCACTTTTTGCTTATAAACTTCCTTCGGCATGATTTACTACGCAAACGAATTTCACAAGAAGAGAAGATAACGCGCCAATATCGGTATGATATTTTAAGAGAAGGTTAGTCGATTAAAGTAAATATCGATACTTTACGTAAAATATATTTTTAACATATAAATCGTTAAAACAGCTGTAAAAATTTATAAAAAATTTACTTTGAAAAAAAGCGGTTTGAATTTGCTAAAAAAGCTGGAATTCCCGCTGCCCGCTGTTTTCAAATTTTTCCCGCAATCGCACTTTTAAAAAATCCAAATCTGACGGCAAAGAAGCGGAAATGACATCACTGGAGGGATATTTTGTTCAATAGTGCTGTAAAACTATCGATTGAACTATCGATCTATCGAATATTTATATTTCTCCGTCCATATCGATTGTTTTTTATACTGTCGATAGAGATGATATCGTGCGATGCACATCAATTACTTTTTTTTTACATTTATAAGAAGCAATTAAGTATAAAAATAAGTATTTATTTGTAGGTAAATTTTCGTTGGTGTTGGTGGCTGGACAGATTATCACGGAACGACGAGCTGCCTTAAAAGCTAAGCATGTGGACATGCTTGTCTTTCTTAATCATAACTCTTGGATCTTGGCAAAAGAATAAAAGCCATGCATTCAATTTTAATTTTATCTAAACTTTTTTTTGTTATAGTCCATGAAGGATCGCATTATTGTTTATTAAAATTTTTATTTTTATTTTTAAATATGCATTTATTTAGTTTGTTTTTTAAATTGAAAATATTTTCGATAGTACTATCGATGATATTGAATAATTGTTGTAAAACCATCGAAACTATTGAATGTTGCAACCATCGATAGTTTTACAGCTCTATGTCCTTATATTGGTGTTCAGTACTTTCATGTTCTCCAAAAGTATATATGCATAAAAATGAATCAACATTTTGCACTATTTGAAAATTTGTCGGCAACCTTTAACACATTCTTGTTCACAATAAGTTGTTCTGAATTAAATAAAAATCATATCCTAGTTTAGTTAGTTCCATATTATTTACCGCTTGGTTCGTCCATTGAAAATTGAATTACTGAACTATTTGTTTTTGATTCAACTACAATGAAGAAAACTTCATTCTTTATATGAATTATCCCTACAAAATACGAAAATTTGCTCAATAAATAAAAAAAAGCGAAAAAAAAGCATATTATTCTTTAAAAAAAAATCCTGAATTCCCGCAGCCCGCAATCGGCTATTCAAAAAAGCCAGATTTGACGGGAAAAAAGCTGATTTGGTAACACTGCTGCTTGAGCCTCAAAAGACCGAGCCGAGCATATACGAAGTTGTCTAGTCTCTTCAGCGCATTTTTTCGTCGTTGAAAAAATTTGTTCTGGATGTCTAGTCTATGTGTTCTCTGGTCAGTGGCGCCACCTAGTAGTAAATTATCGATGGATGAAAAAAAACATCGATATATCATGAGAGCCCAAATCCATCGATACTATCAATAGTCTCCATCGATGGACTTGCAGCCCTACTTTATATTAATGATGTAAATCTGAATGTAAACATCGATGTCGATGTCCATCAATGTTTTCAAAATCAAGCATCGATGTTGGATTAATACATCGGATTGAAAATTCGATGCATCGATGTATTTTGTATTTATTTTTTTTACTTATTTACTGGTGCTCTCATGGCGTTTTTGTTATTAAAAAAAACTTAACATGATTCAACATTATTTAACAAAAATAAAAAATAAAATTGAGCTTTCATAGCAGTATTTTACTTAAGGTCTAACTTTCAAATTTTTAATATAGGAGAGATATCTTTTGCTTTCATAGCAGTCTTATACATTTCACTAAACTTAAACTGAATTACATATTATTTTAGAGGGAAAAAAAGATACCATCATAAGAAAAAAATGTGATTGCAATTTTGAATAAATTGGGATAGGTACTTTTTATTCCTTCCCAAAAAGAAAAAAGGTTGCGATGTTTTGCAAAACATCGATACATCATTCAACATCGGTATCAGCGAAAACATCGGAAAACATCGGTAAAAATTGGTAATAAAACATCGATGCTCGATGCATCGATGATTTCTTACATCACTACTTGATATGAAAAAACTGAATATTTTGCTGGAAAAATACTAGTATTGGTTTAGTTTTAATCTGATTTTATTTCACATATGTATTTACATTTAATAAAAATTCAGAGTGAAATGAAATACAATTCTCATAAAAAGATTAATAAAAAAAAAAAACTTTATTTACAAGTTTTGTTCACACTAAAACATAAGCGTTCCTAAAATAATATCCAGAACATTTTTACTAACTCTTTGTTTGGTCACATAGTTTTTATAAGAAAAGAAAAGAAAATGTATAGAGGAATTCGTTCTCCACCTGTTGACTCAGTTTCGTACACAAATTTGGTGAGAAGTCAAACATACACACGTAAAAGTTTTTATACCCTATATTTCTTATATTTTGTTATTTACTTTGACATGTTCATAACCATTGGTAAGCGCACACAATATCAGAGCCATACAAAGTCGATGCCACAATGACGCCTAACTTGTAATTAGAGAATGGGTTGTTTTCGTATTCATTGCAGGTGGGATTTATTTTCATATTCAATATTATTGTCGGAACTGGAGCGCTAACTCTGCCAGGAGTATTTGCCAAATCAGGATGGTGTCTAAGCTTTGTTGTGTTAATATTATTAGCTCTTGTAAGCTATATCACAGTAACATTTGTTATCGAAGCCATGGCGGGTGCGAATGCGATAAAAAACTGGCAAAGTCTTCAAGCTTTACGTTACAAGCGCAATTCAAATGAAGAAGATAATGAATTATATTGGAATACAGAAAGCGAAACCGTTCCCTTGACAATTCAGAATATGCAATTTCATTACTATCAACTGACACAAAAGTTTGAATTGGGTGAAATGGCAAAAATATTTTTTAATGATTGCGGGCGTATATTGTTTTACCTATGCTTTATAATTTACCTATATGGAGACTTGAGCATATATTCCGCAGCGGTGGCTAGAAGTTTGCGTGATGTGCTATGGTAAGCATTTTGAAATACAAACTTTGACAATACAACACATAGTTGGTACTAGATACCAACTTTAACGCTTATATTTTCATTTTTTTTGTTTGTTTGTTATTTTGGCCTTTATCAACAAATATATGTCTGTATGTCTGTACATAGGCAAGAAAAAGCAAACCTATGAAGGTTTGCGATGTTCATGCAAGTGAATAAGACGTTTTTGCTGAGTTCTCAAAATGTGCTGAAGTGTAAAAATATTCAACCATATTTGTTGATAAAGGCAATCACATACGAAGTTTTGTGAGAACTAACGCAAATATTTTTTTGTTATGGTTTGTGGAAAACAACATTTGCACCATAAACTTTTAGTATAACTGATTCTAAAATTTAATTAAAGGAGTTCATTTTTGTTGTATAGCGAACATGATCATTCAAATAACTCGGATATCTCGATTTCTGAATTAAGCTCAATGCGTTTGCTTGGCGGGTTGAAAGATAATGATAACCGTACATGCTGGAAAGAGCATAATGTATCACGTCTAATAGTGTACAGGATCATATTGATTGGATTCACTATGCTTTTTGGACCACTCGTTTTATTCAGCATACAGAAAACAAAGTATTTGCAAATGCTTACTGTTGTTTTTCGATGGTTGGGTAAGATGTATATACATATATAATTCTTCAGCTTTTATAATATTTCTGCTTTTTATTTTTATATCAGCGTTTATTTTAATGATATGCATTGCTCTCAAAATGCTCGTCATTGATGGGGTAAAAGGACATCCAGTTGCCGTAAATTTTTATGGTATTCCCTCATTGTTTGGCGCCGGTGTTTACTCGTTCATGTGCCACCATTCGTTGCCCAGTTTATTGGCACCAATTAAACATAAGTCAATGGCTAAAAAAATTCTTTCATACGATTACATTTTAATTTGTTCGTTTTATATAGTTCTGGCGATTACAGGAATATTTGCATTTGAGTACGTTGAAGATCTGTATACTTTGAATTTTCTACCATATCACGCTACATCTGAAAGTTTATTTTCAAATTTTTTAATTGTTATCGATTATTTCCTGTCTTTGTTTCCGGTATTTACGTTATCCACTAGTTATCCACTTATCGCTATCACACTTAAAAACAATCTTCAAACTTTGTTTTTGGACATGTCCCAATATAATTCGTATAGCATATTGATTCGAGCACTTTTCCCCTTTTTATCTATTCTTTTACCATTTTGTATAACATATTTCACTGAAAACCTATCTATCCTAGTGGTTATTACGGGGAGCTATGCTGGAGTAGGTATACAATATGTCATTCCTGTTTGCTTGGTCTATTATTCCCGTGTGACATGTTCTGAACTACTAGGAAGTGGGATTAAAAATCAATTTCAAAGTCCATTTCAATCAAATATATGGCTATTAATGGTGTTAGCTTGGTCAGTATTATCCGTATTCTTAGTGTCCATTAATTTGTTCAGGTAATAACCTACACACAATATATAAAACATGAGTTTCATTTTTAACAAAATCGGCTGTGAAATTTACTTATCAATAAATAGATTTGCTAACTTTGATGTATTAATTAAATATTTGATAATAATAGAAATGATATTGAGACCATTAAAAATGTGAATTTTGTATTTTTTGTATTTTGTATGTAAGCCTGTAGCAAAGAAATCTACAATACCTATGATAATAATATGGATACTTATTAGTGAAATAATAATAATCATAGTTGTAACGCTCTTAATTATAAACAAAAATATTTATCAAATGTAAAAAAATAAATAAAATCTACACTTAGTAGTATATTTATAACTCAAGTTGTCATTATTTATGTCACATAGCGACTGCGACCTCAGAACACAACATTCTACACGTTTAAAGCTTTTAATGTATATGTGCACATGTATAAAAAACTGAGTTTCCCTGTGTGTCATCCCATAAATGAAGTTTCAATTTAATAAATTTGGAGGAAAGCTCGACGTCAGATGTAAGAAAATTAATTAAAAACAAGTAGAAGACTCTAGTCGAGATTGCTCGACTAGGAGATACCCTGAACCCTCTAATCTGCTATTCTAATCAGTCTGGACTTCTTTTCGACACACATACATACACACGCACGTATTAGAACGCGCTCTGCTAACTGCGCAGTAAGCAGCGACTGCGCTTGGGCTGCGCTGCAGTGTGGCCAACATTATAAGAATTTATTTATTGAATAATTAAAATTCCTAGACGTACAATCTTAATGAAACTCAGGGCGTAATCATATGGTGAAAATGTATGTACATTCCAAAGCACACGTCTCTAGTACTTTAAATACGCCATTTACAAAAGTGTGGGTGAGAGGGTGGATAAAGGGGTGGGGGTAAATTACAACAAAAATCGAAATTATATAAAATACATATAAGTCTACATTTAAAATTTGCAAGCTCTAGCTCTAAAGGTGTAGGAGATATAATTAAATAACTAGCTGTCGATAAAGTTTTTGATCGATAATAAAATATCGGGATTAGTTATCGATATATAAAGAAAAACTTGATATGCGCGTGATATACACGAACCTAGGAAAAAAAAAGTTCAAGTCTCTAGCTCTTATATCTTCTGAGATCGACGCGTTCATACATACGGACGGACGGCCGGACAGACAGACGGACAGGGCCAAATTGACTCAGCTCGTCGCCCTGATCAAGAATATATATACTTTGTTGGGTCTGCCACGCCTCCTTCTGTCTGTTACATACATTTAACAAAACCATTATACCCTGATTTCCCATTTTCAATGGGTTCAGGGTATAATTAGGAATTTCGCTCGAACTCAATTGTCCACAATATGGCATTACTGAAGAATTACACAGAGTTGTAGCCACTATTCTCCAAGGACACGAGAAAAAAAAATAAATGTTCGGCATCTGTCTTCTTTAAGGCTTTAAGGACTTTGATAGAGTCTGGCATAATGGGATTCTTTTCGAACTTATTTGTATATGATTTCTCACCATATTTATTTACAGACATCTCTCTCTCTCTCTCTCTCTCTCTCTCTCTTGCTCTCACTTTTCCACAGAAGGGCTTATCAGAGCAGGTGTTATCCAGTGCAGTGTGCCAAGTCCGACGTTTGACAATATTTGCCTACACTACCTTCACAAAATAATATTATTTCTGCATATGCACACAACACAGCTGTAATCTGCAGCACTAACGCTTTCATACCCTTCCCAGAAATAATCATCGCAAATAATTTGCTGAGCATGGCAAACGGTTTGAAGAGTTCAGTATACTCTTCACACAGAAGGGAAGACATGGGTTCTTGCTGGGAAGAAAATTCAATTTGGTGTGAGCTGCTGCTTGTGCTCACATGCATACATACATATACATATTTGAGAGAGTAGAGAGCAGAGAGAAAGAGAGAACAAGAAAAACAAGTAAGAAAGCTCTAGTCCAGACTGGTCGAACACAAGATCCATGGAACCCTTTGAGCAATAGCTATTTCAATTATTTTTCGCGTCTTTCTACTTACAAAAGACAAACGCACACACACAAACACACACACACGCATACACACACACATACACACACACAAGCACCCACGCCTAAACATGCATGGGCTGCAGTGTGCGCTTACTATGAGAATTTAATTGTTTAATAACTTTTCTTGTGAACATACGATCTTCTTAAACTCTCAGATTATGATTATAACATGGTTATGCATTTATTTGCCAAAGCACAAGTCTCTAGTATTTGAAATACGCTTTTTACAAAAGTGAGGGTGAAGGGGTTGATATGGGGGTGGGGGGTAAATTGTAAAAAAAACGGAAATAGTATAAATCGCATATAAATCTACTTTAAATGTAGGATGTAGGAGATATAATTTTATAACTTATTTTCGATAAGGTTTTTTTTCGATAAAAAAATTGTTGTTTACGTAGTTTAAATGTGATTTTAATATTTTGATTAAGTAGATTGCTTTAAAACAATTAAGAGTGCTGAACTTTGCAAATAGCTGATATTCCAATCATTCTACGTTTCGTGTATGCATATATTTATAACAAATAACATATGCAAAATACACACACGCTACACAATGTTATGAGAACTTATTCGTTCCTCTTTTACAGGGACGATCTGTTTTAGACATTCAGATGCAATTTTATATTTATGAATGCACAAGTCTCTACTATTTGTATATACAAATATACATGTAAAATGTATGGGTTATTAGATCTCGACGTTCATACGGATAGACAGTCACGCTTCCTTCGGCTTGTTACATACATTTTCACAAAAAAGAACCCTGATTTCTCATTTTCAAGAGGCTACACGTGCATAGCATACGCTGTATGCGAAAGTTAAATACTGTTGGTCTAAGAGTTTTAGGTCTAAAGAATACAGTTGTATTACTAGAGACTTGTGCTTTGGTAAATACACACCTTTCAACGATATTATCACGTTCTGAAATCATTTTATCTATGGGAATGGAAAATCAGACTTCACGTCGCGAGATACGGTACTTGTATGTGTCTCTTTATCTCTGTGTTTGTCCCAATCCGTACACGACAAACAAGCATTCAGTTTATTTATATTCGACCCACACGACTTAACCGAGTCAGTTGTGAAGAACAGTCTTATTACACACATTGTACTTCGTCTAGTATCAACGATTACAGAATAGTAGACTTTAATAAAATATTAAGCAATATTCTTAAAATTATTGTTAATAGCAACATGCGTGCGATGAAGTTAAATATAATTGGCGTTATACTTTGTCTTATATTCAGTTATTTGGATAGAGTGTTGGCAGACGGTAAGTCATTTTTACAAAATAGTTATGTGAATATATAACAAAATACTTGTTTCCTCTTTAGAAAAATAAAATTATATATTTATATATAATTGTATTCAAAGTTTTTTTTTTTTTTTGTTTTATATATACATACATAATGATCAAACGAATTAAGATTCTTGTCTGTGAGACTAGATAAGGCGAAAGTTAATTTATTCCAATGCTTAGTTATATAATAACGCGTATATCAATTGTAAGAGACGAAAATTAAAGAGCATGGAAAAGATGAGAAGAAGAATTGCGAACACAACAGAAAGGAAAGCAAAACAAATAGAAAGTCAAGAAGGAAAAAACAAATGTAAATTAAGTAAAAAGTGCTCTAGTCAAGACTGCTCGACTAGGAGATAATCTGAGTCTGCAAAGAAATGATATTCCAATAATTCTGGTTTACTCTTATACACACTTACAAAATAACATGCTCACACACATCTACACGTACGTGTAAGCAAGCGCTCTGCTAACTGCGCAGTTAGCAGCGACTGCGCTTGGTCTGCGGTGTGGGCAGAATTTATTTGTTGAATAATATCTCTCGTAGTTGGATTATTTTTATGAAACTTTCTGAACGTGATATAAGGTTAAAATGTGTATACATTCCAAAGTCCAAGTCTCTGGTACTTAAATTTTTACAAAATGGGGGCGAAGGGGGCGTGGTATGCAAAATCTGTGTATTTATAAAAATGTATGTATACAAAGTAAATCCGAAGTCTCCAGGTCTAATAGCATTGAAATTATGCTGAAACCCGAATTCAATTTATAGGATATTCTCGTCGCCCTGATCAAGAATATATATTCTTTATGAGGTCTGCGATGATTTCCCATTTTCATTCATTGTATAATAATATACCTAGTATTTTAAGTAACACTTAGCTTGAATATATGCCAGTTTGTAAATGAGTTTGTTTATACCTGTCCATCTGTCTATATTTTTTAACGCGTTGATCCCCGAAGATATAACCGCTAGACACTTTAATTTTTATACTCATTCACGAATGTGAAATGGGTATAGTGGTTTTATGAAATGTCCGACTTGCTGTCCGTCCGTCTGTCCGAATGAACGCAGTTTGTTTCGGCGCTATTGAAGTTGGACTTAAAATTTTGAATTTGATATGTCAGAAATCATATTAGCTAAAGAGCTAGAAAGCTTAAATTTGGAATGTAGATTCGCGTCGATCACCCAAGATCACAAGCTACGGCGGGCGTGGCAAACCGGATAAAATTTTTTTTTTTTTTTGATATAGTTTTATTGCAGCTTTTGTCTTAAACTCTATAGCGCATTTTTAAGGATACCTTAACTAATGAAGTGGCTAAATGCCTTTATTACTACGAATTACGTTTACTAATTTAGGTCACTTGTCGGGTCCAGGGGGTGTAATCTTTTCAGCCTTCTGTTGTTGTTGGTGGATAAATTGGCTGCAAGCTGGTTTGGGTGGGCGGATATTCTGTATTTCCTAAAGTTGTAAAGCTACATCTCTGAAATTTTGTTATTTAACATTCTACTATATTTTAGGTACTATTGATTCAGTTCAAGCTATGGGGGATATATCTATCTCCGTCCACAGGGGCAAACCGCAAAAGTTTATATCTCGTATAGTTTAAGAGCTAGGGGCGTGTCATATTGAAAAATATCCTGTAATTTTCAATTTTTTTTAGCGTAATCATTCAAATTGCAGATACATAACCTTCAGCTCGTTCTAAGATCTGACCAAAAATTATGTGTTTACTCCCAGTAGCTAAATCGGAACTGAATTTTCTACAGTATAAGGGCTAGGAACTCAAAACTTAGCTACGCTGATGTCTGTCAAAAAAAAAAATATCAAATATTCAATAGAATATGTGAATCATATGCTGCAAATCATATGTTAGCCAATTAACAAACGCACGTGCAGCAGCCAGAACAGTTTTCCTATACGCACACATACAATCAAACTTATTATATCATATTCTTTGAATCCCATTTATTGATTAAAATGTTGAAATTCTCAGAAGTAAGTTTAGTTTGGATATGTTAGATGACGCTGCAGCAGTGAGCCGATTTCAGCTTTAATATAATATATTTGGAAAACAAGTAAGAAGACTCTAGTCGAGACTGCTCGACTAGGAGATACCCTGAACCCTCCAATCTGATATTCTAATCACTGTGCACTTCTTTTCGGCACACATACATACACACGCACGTATTAGAACGCGCTCTGCTAAGTGTGCAATAAGCAGCGACTGCGCTTGGGCAGCGCTGCAGTGTGGGCAACATTATGAGAATTTATTTGTTGAATAATTTAATTTCTAGATGTACAATCTTAATGAAACTTTCAGAACATAATCATATTGTTTAAATGTATGTACATTTCAAAGCACAAGTCTCTAGTACTTGAAATACGCCTTTTACAAAGGTGATGGTGAGGGGGTGGATATAGGGCTGCGGGGTAAATTTTAACAAAAATCGAAATTGTATTAAATATATATAAGTCTACATTTAAAATTTTGAAGCTCTAGCTTTAAAGGTGTAGGAGCTATAATTCAAAAACTAGCTTTCGATAAGGTTTTTAATCGACAATAAAATATCGAGTGTAATTATCGATATTTAGAGAAAAACTTGATATGCGCGTGATATACACGGACCTAGGAAAAAAATTTCAAGTCTCTAGCTCTTATATCTTCTGAGATCAACGCGTTCATACATACGGACGGACGGACGGACGGACAGACAGACGGACAGGGCCAAATCGACTCAGCTCGTCGCCCTGATCAAGAATATATATAGTTTGTGGGATCTGCCACGCCTCCTTCTGCCTGTTACATACTTTTAACAAAACCATTATACCCTGATTTCCCATTGAAAATGGGTTCAGGGTATAATGAAGTGGCGTTGTTCCTAGCAACGGGGTGCTCGACTGAGAAGTCTCTGGCTCGACTCCAGAGCGCGTAATTCTAGCACTTAAGAATGTGCTAGAATATGTTTGAATGTATGTGTGTATACCCGCGCGTTTGTTAATTGGCCAAACATTTTGTTCATTTATTAACGTCGATGGACTTAACGGAATTTAATGAAACTTTCAGCTTATGATCTACACATTCTATTGAATATGTGACATATTTTTAAAAATGCCAAATCATTCACAATTAGCTATATAATTAGCTATTGCATCTGACCTTCACGGGGGTCTTTGGTGAATTTGGAGCCGGTGTCCAACATTTAAAAAAAAAACGAAAATGTATAAGAAACATTTGAATCTATCTATATTTAAAATTTGGAGACTCTAGCTTACAGATGTAGAAGATATATGTATTTATATACCTTATTTTCGATAAGGTTTTTAATCGATAAAAAAATAACGGGATGAGGCAATCTTCATTGAAAGAAATATTCGCCACTCCTTGCTTCCTCTCCCAAGTACTAAAGTTATTGAAACAATTGTCGTAAAAATCTTTATTAGCTATGGTACAGAGATGTCCATTTCCCAGGGGGCCGCGAAAATCCCTCTAAAAAACAGCTTTTTCAGGCCGACATACATAAATTATGTGCAAATGGAACATTCATTCTGAGAGGTTATTTTAATTGCAGACATTAGCATGGACGAACTCATGGGGTAACTTGCTAAAAAAACAAGGTAGTCTGCAGAAACTGTTATCTAATGCATTCCAATCGCCCCGTTTATCTATCTATCCCACGAGTGTTACATTAAATTCTGATTACTTTCCAGTGCTTCTTGAGATCTCTGTCAACTTTGCCGCGTCCGCAACTAATTATACTCATTCACGAAAGTGAATCAGTATATTGGCTTTGTGCAATGTCCGTCTTGCTGTCCGTCCGTCCGTTTGTCCGTCTGTCCGTATGAACGCAATCTATTTCGGCGCTATTGAAGCTAGAGACTTGAAATTTGGAACACATACTCGTGTATATCTCCGATTTATAAAGTGTTAAAATTTTTTTTTATATTCGGGCTGATCACCCAAGACCAAAAAGCTTTGTCGGATATATGTCCGCCCACAGGGTGCGTGGAAAACCGCAAAGGTTGATATCTCCTAAAGTATAATAGCTAAAAGCTTCAAATTTAGAGAGTTAAGTTACCAGTAACCTCGTCTATCTATGACCCAAAAATAATTTTTCGCCTCTTTAGGGGCGTGCCATATCGAAAAATACCCTGTAATTTTCACATTTTTTGAGGGTAAACATTCAAATTTGCAGTTAGGGTACCGTTATCACGTTCTAAGAACTGACCAAAAATGAGGTGTCTGCGCCCAGTAGGGGCGTGGCAAATCGGAAAACCCTGTATATTCTACAGTATTAGAGCGAAACTTATCTACTATATTGTTGATGGGATGTGAATGAGTATTCCGCAGTCGGTAACGCCCGACTGCAACATTCTTACTTGTTTTACTTCGTTTCGTCGAAAATTCGCTCCTCACCTAAATTCACACAATGTGCCGCACAGAAGATGTTGATCACATGATTAAAATTTTTTCTGAGGTCCTTCGTGAAGCCAAAGATGTTAGCATCCCAAGTGAAAAAGTGAAATTTCCCCTAAATCCACTGCCGCAAAACATTGTTAGTCTTATAAAGAGTGGAAACATACGACGGCGCACCTGGCTAAGGTGGCTAAATAAGCTGATCACCAAAACGATACTAGAATTTAGAAATAAATCCTGGAATATTACTCTTGCAGCCTTAGATAAAGGTTATTCCCCTTTTTGGAAACTCTCAAAATTTATTAAAAAGAAGCACTCAACATTCCATTTCTAGTCAATAATAACATCAGTCCCTCGACGGACGAAGATAAGGCCGAGGCGTTAGCTCAATCCTTTAAACTAAACCATACGGTATCTACTGGGTTCGGCGATCCGGTAACTAATGCCGCCGTTGATGCCTTAATTCTCTCAGTCGCACAATTTGCTATAGGGCCACTAAATGACTACCTTTTTGGCATCAACGTTATAGAAGGCATATTGAATAGGCTTAAAAAAAGGAAGTCACCAGGGATTGATAAAATTGACAATCTATTTTTAAACATACCTCCGAAGGGTATCAGTTTAATTATTTGCATAGTCAATAAATGCCTATAGCTATGTTATTTTCCGTCTGTCTGAAAATGTGCCAAAATTGTTAAAACAAAATAAGGTATTCGAGTTGCTCACTTCCTATAGGCCTCTTAGTCTTTTGTCGGCAGTCAGCAAAATCCTTGAGAAGATTATCAAAGATTAATGAACTAATTTTATTGATTCTAATAATATTCTTCTAAGTAATCAGTTTGGCTTTAGAAGCGAACACAATACTGTTCAGCCCCTTTGTAGGATTAAAAAAAAGTATCAAAAATAATTTTGCTAGATCAATGTCATCAGGAATGGTACTACTGGACATCAAGCCTCATTTGACTCAGTTTGGCACGACGGCCTAATTCGTGCGACCATAAAGATTGTTCAAAGATATCTAGAAAGTAGATCCTACGTCGTTTAGGAAATGCTTCATCGACTAAATAAATAAATAAATAAATAAAAAGCAGTCAATATTTCGGCAGGCTGCCCCCAGACATAACTAAAAACCTCCAATCAGCATCTAATTCTTTATTAAATATTTCTCCTAATGGCAATATTTTTCACAAATAAACGAAAGGACATCTACGTACCGACCCCTGAACCCTTCGAGCTATAGATATTTCAATCATTTTCCGCGTCTTTCTGCTTACACGAGAAACACGCACACACGCATGGAGGTAAATTTTTAACAAAAACCGAAATTATATAAAATGCATATAAATATACATTCAAAATTTGGATTTGGACTGTAGTTCCAAAGAGGTAGGAGATATAATTTTATAACTGATTCTCGATATGGTTTTTTATCGATAAAAAAAGAACGGGATGCGTTATCGATTTTTGGTGATAAACTCGATATCCGCGCTGTAGATACGGACATGTTAAAAATAATGAGGTCTCTAGCTCTTTTATCTTCTGAAATCGACGCGTTCATACATACGGACCGACAGACGGACAGGGCCAAATGGACTCAGCTCGTCGCCCTGATCAAGAATATATATACTTTATGGGGTCTGCCACGCCTCCTTCTGCCTGTCACATACACTTCAACAAAACCATTATACCCTGATTTCCCATTGAAAATGGGTTCAGGGTATAAAAAAAGTAAGAAAGCTCTAGTCGAGACTACTTGACTACCATATCCCCTGAACCCTTCGAACAATAGCTATTTCAATCATTTTCCGCGTATTTCTGCTCACCCAAGAAACACGCACACACTCACGCACACACACGCATACACACGCATACACACACATGCATACACACACATGCATACACACACACACACAGACACACACATACACACACACAAGCACCCACGCCTAAGCACGTATAGTCTGCAGTGTGTGCTTACTATGGGAATTCAATTGTTTAAAACCTTTTCTTGTAAACATACGATCTTCATGAAATTTTCAGATTATGATTATAATATGGTGACTTAGGGGTGGGGTAAATTTCAACCAAAACCGAAATTGTATAAATTTCATATAAGCATACATTTAATATTTAGAGACTCTAGCGTTAAAGGTATAGGAGAAATAAATTTATTTTTGATCTTCAATAGTGTTTTTAATCGATAGCAATTAACTGATATTAATTGACTGTATTTGGTTTCATGTCATTTTGAAGAACAAATCGCTGACTATATTCGAAAATGTTGTATAAGTGGCTTGCGTAATGCTCGTACCACAAGTGTATGCGATAAAATGGATTCAACTATAGTAAATATATCTAATCTTTGGCTTGGATTGTGCTCCTCGACATTTGGCGTTTGCTGTTCAAAAGAGTTGGACCGTCAGAATTGTGAGCTCGGTCGTTTGGCTGCATTGGAGGGTGCTTCGTGTAATAAAGGCTTTAATTTGACGTCAACCTCGTATACAAATTGCTGCCGAGCTTGTCAAGGTATTCTTGAAAAGATTACGTACATATATCTCTAAAACGTACTCATTAATGTAATGGGCTTTCCAGTTGGTTTAGCTGTTAAGGCTAGTCAACAAAAGTGTACGGATCCATTGTTTTCGTTTCTTTTGAATATCGATTCATATCGGTTATGCTGCTCTGATGACGGCTTCTCAAATTCTGAGTTGGAATCGGAGTCGGGGTTGGAGGGAAAAAATAAACTCGTATTATATACAGATCATGATGAACGAGAGGAGGAAATTGTTGAGAGCCGCGAAACTGTTGATGGAACAATAGTCCTATCCGGTGATGGTAAGAATATTCGAAATATTAAATAAATAATAATAATAATAATAATAATAATAATTATATAATGATAATTATAATTATATATAATAATAATAACAATAATAATAATAATAATAATAATAATAATAATAATAATAATAATAATAATAATAGTTAAATTATATATGTCTAATAGATGATATCTGTGGAAAAATACCCAATCTTTGTGAGCAAGTATGTATAAACACATACGATGCGTACAGGTGCAGCTGTCACCCCGGGTATAAATTGAACGACAATAATGTTACCTGTTATGCGGATAAAAACAATATTTGTCCCAGTGGCTACGTTTTGGATGGTAATCAAGGTAAATGTGTAGACATCGATGAGTGTCAAGAGCAACTACATGACTGCAAAACATCGCAATATTGTCACAATACAATCGGAGGATATCACTGTCTCAACATAAAGGCTAAGAATTGCCCAGCAGGCTATTTATACAATGTGAAGTCAGATGAATGCGAAGGTAGGTAATAAGCTCTAAGTTCGAGAACAAAAATATGATTACAGCTACGTTAAAATGAAGACACCTTAAATTTTAAGCGTATGTCCATACATATACATTAGCATACTCATATTAAACGAGTAAGAAAGCTCTAGTCGAGACTGCTCGACTACGAGATTCCCTGAATCCTTCGAGCAGTAGCTATTTCAAACAGTTTTCGCGTCTTTCTGCAACACAAGAAACACGCACAAGCACCCGCATACACACACACACGTATACACACACACATACATACATAAAGCACTCACTCATAAACACGCATGGGCTGAAGTATGCGCTTCATAAAAAAAAATCTTCATAAAACTTAGAGATTATGATTATAACATAGATATGCATGTATTTGCCAAAGCACAAGTCTTAAGTATTTGAAATACGCCTTTTACAAATATGTGGGAGAGGGAGTGAATGTAAGGGTAGGGGGAAAACTTTAACAAAAACCGAAATTGTATAAAATGCATATGAGTATACATTTAAAATTTTGACTCTAGCTTTAAAGATGTAAGAGATATAATTTTATAACTGATTTTCGATAAGTATTTTTATCGATCAAAAATAACGGGATGAGTTATCGATTTTTAGTGATAAACTCGATATTCGCGCTGTACATACGGATAAATTCCAGTCTCTAGCTCTTATATCTTCTGAAATCGACGCGTTCATGCATACGGACAGACAGACGGACTGACAGACAGCTTGTCAGCCCGATCAATAATATATATATTTTGTAGGGTCTGCCACGCCTCCTTCTGCCTGTTACATACATTTCAACAAAACCATTATACCCTGATTTCCCATTGAAAATGGGTTCAGGGTATAACAAGTAAGAAGACTCTAGTCGAGACTGCACGAGTAGGAGATCCCCTGAACTCTTCGAGCAATAGCTATTTCAATCATTCTTCGCATCTTTCTGTTTACACAAGACACACACACACACACGCACACGCATACACACACACACGGAGGAGATAGTCACGCGTTTTATTGGAGTACGGTCGACGTCATCGTGATCCATCGTGGACAATAGCTTGATCTGTGTTTTTCCTGTGAAAGTGGAAAGAACTGTAGACAACGTGTTTGCTGTGGGCGCGACGCATCAAAGACTTACTTCGCGGCGGTCTCGCGGAGTACCCCATTGGAAGAATCCGGTGGTGCAAGAGATGGAGGCAATATCGTCACTGTTTTGACGTCAGGGCTTTACTCTTTCCCTTTCTTTTTTTTTAAGCGCGAAAAGATTTGTCACTTTAGGCGTCACACTTGTGCAAATAATACAAAAATCAGGTGCATTCACTCTAACAGCTGTTAGTAGTGCTGGAAATTGCAGCGGACAATCAGCTGCTCACTAACTTTGGTGAGTTGCTAAGTCTTAGCAAAGACAACTACCTAGCTGCTGGTGTGAGGTGGCAGGTACTAAAAGTAGTGCATACTTTCGGGCTCTCGCTGTAGTTAAGTTGAGTTTAAGTTACTGCGATCTCTAAACTCTAATTATATTAGTAGCCATTGCCCACTACAGGCTTCACGCCGTGGTAGTCGGAGCAAAATGGATACCATGATGGAGGATGAGCTGTAAGCTTTCGCGCGCCGTTCCTTGTTGCAGCGATCGTCGCAGCAACAACAGAGGGCGTTGCCGCAGCCGTTGACATCCAGTCAGCCCCCAATGGTTGAGTGCCAGGCACCCAAATTACTAAAAGAAGCGTTAGCTCAAATAGGAGTTACCTTAGATGGCTTGTCTGCCTTATTCGGGGGTCAGCGTCGTATTAATGCACTAATGAAAGAGGAGCTGGCAGCTGGACAGTCGTTAAAGGACGAAAGCCTATGCAAAAACGTTCCAGGACAGACGCGATTGCGATTTCAGGCGTAGGTGGTTGCAGCTACGCGGACATGCTTCGTGTAGTCAAGAGCGACCCAAATTTGAAGCATCTGAGCAGCGACGTTCCAGACATTAGGAAGACAGCTAAGGGGGACCTTTTGTTGCAACTGAGCAGAAAGCCGGAGCATACCGCTGAGGCCCTTCACGAAGCTGTAGGCAACGCCTTGGGTGACCGAGCGGTAGTTAAAACACTTACCGAATCGGCTCAAATTGCGATTCACGACCTAGATGAGCTAGCCAGCAAAGAGGAGACCTTTGAGCCCATTAGGGTGGAGTTGAAGGATAGCTCTGCTCAAACTGTACAAAATTATGTTGTATCCGAGCCGTGGACCAGCCTAAACGCTGTTTCAAGTGCCTCGATTATGAACATATTGCAGCAAACTGCGGCATCGACTGTGACCTAAAGGGTGCCTGTTTCAGGTGTGGAGAGATGGGTCACAGTGCAAAAGCATGCACCAAGCCACCAAAATGTAGCCTCTGCGTCCGGAAAGGTGTAAAGCAGACGGACCACTCAGCAGGCAGCTTCAAGTGCCCATCCTACCGTGAGGCTGCGCGTAAAATGAAATGATGATCTTGCTGCCCAAGAGCTTCTAGAGCAGACTATAAGGAAAAATGTATAGACGTAGCATTTCTCAGTGAGCCTCACCACTGTAGAACCAGCTGCCCTAGGACATGGGCAACAGATGCTAATGGCAAAGCGGTGTTGTGTGTAAGTGGCAATACAACGAATGTTGGGCGTAAGAATGGGGTAGCCACACAACAAATGCCAGAGGCCGTATCTTACTGGAGATTTTCGCGACACTAGATGTTGCACTGCTCTGGCGACGAGTTCACCTTCAGTCGGGCTGGATACGGATATGTAATTGACATTACTTTTGTCACTTGATCCCTCGTTCGGGAAGCAACATGGAGCCACTGCGATAGCTATACGGGCAGCGATCATACGGCACTTCTGTTCACAATAGGTGAGCCACCATTGGTAATGCTGAGGCCAGAGCATGCCAAATGGTGGCCCAAATACAGAGTGCCTGCAATAACAGCATGTTACGCCGCAAGCAGTTTACGCGACAACAAGAGCCTATGTATTGGTGGAGTGCACAAATAGGTGACCTTCGACGCAAATGCATCCAGGCGAGAAGAAGCTGTCAACGGGCTCGGGGTAGGTCTACGTTTTTCGAAAAACAATTAGCTTACCAGGCAGCCAGAAGACAGTTGAAGAAGGCCATTCGGGCAAGCAAAAGAGAATGCTTTCTAGAGTTGTGCGACTCAGCCGAATATGACCCTTGGGGCAGGGCATATAAGTTAGTAGTTAAAAGACTATACGCAGGTAAACAGGTGCAGCTGTCGGATCGTCGTATTTCAAATACTACATACATATGTTTTGACAAATGCATGCATATCTATGTTATAATCATGATCTCTAAGTTTTATGAAGATCGTATGTCCACAAAAAATTTATTAAACAATTCAGTTCTCATAGTAAGCGCATACTGCAGCCCATGTGTTTTTATGCGTGTGTATATGTATTTGTGTATGTGTGTGTGTGTGTGTGTGTGTGCGTGTATGTGTTTTGTGTATGTGTGTGCGTTTGTCTTGTGTAAGCAGAAAGACGCGAAGAATGATTGAAATAGCTATTGCTCGAAGGGTTCAGGGGATCTCGTAGTCGAGAAATCTCGACTAGAGCTTTCTTACTTGTTATACCCTGAACCCATTTTCAATGAGAAATCAGGGTATAATGGTTTTGTTGAAATGTATGCAACAGGCAGAAGGAGGCGTGGCAGACCCCACAAATTATATAAGTTAAGCGCTCCCACACTAGAGTACTAGTGATTGGGGACGCTGTGTTGGGTTCTTGTGAATATATAACAACTTTGTGTTCAATGAAATAATATATTTTATATAATTTGGAACAATAGGTCTAAACTCTCTCTAGTCCGAATATAAACTGAACTAAATCTGTTCAACTGGTTAGGTTTTCCCTTTGAATGTCTGACTGGACTCTCCAGCCTCCTTAGATTGTCAATGGTCTTAACTCTTCCCCATCTACATATCTGCGTCCCGCAGATCAGGGTGCATATGTACATTATAATGATATTCATCCAATATAAATTGCCCAATTATCCAATATAAATCTATTATCCATAGTCGATAGTTCCAGAGTCCATAAATTAGCATAAAGAAATCCACCTTCAAAGCATTCATAGTTCCATACATTTAGTATTCATTTGTGGATATGACAATACATCCAACATTGTAAGCGCATTTATTTCATTCCCTCTGGCATCTCGGAAATCCCTATTACCATGAATGATCGAAGCTAGGAAGGATATACCACATGTAAAATGCTATGGGTGCTAAGGAAGTTAAGGAAGTTAAAAGAGGATTATTACAATTTAATTAACTAAAATGTGCATTTATGAAGATTGTCACATTGCGGTTTTCCTTTACTTCGTCTTTTGCAAATCTTTTTTGTCCTTAGTCTTAATTTGATTGTTTCTTTTATATTATTTCATTGAATTACTAATTGTATTGAATTACGTGTGTGTATTACCACGTGTGTTATTGCGTTGTCTGTTATAGAATTACTGAATTACTAGTTGTATTATCTTTTGTTACAAGTTATATAAAATATATTATTTCATTGAATTACTAATTGTATTGAATTACGTGTGTTATGTGTTTTACTACGTGTGTTATTGCGTTGTCTGTTATATAATTACTTGAATTACCAATTACTAATTGTATTATCTTTTGTTACCGAACCGGCAAACAGTTTTTATTATTTTATATGGCTTGGAAACCCTCAGGATCCTTTTTGGTGTAAGACCTACTTAGGTGAGGGTGGTTCCACAATCATCTGGTCTCTCTCTTACTTTCGTTTATTTATTTATTTTAGTTTTTATACCCTGAACCCATTTTCAATGGGAAATCAGGGTATAATGGTTTTGTTGAAATGTATGTAACAGGTAGAAGGAGGCGTGGCAGACCCACAAAGTATATATATTCTTGATCAGGGCGACGAGCTGAGTTGATTTGGCCCTGTCCGTCTGTCTATCCGTCTGTCCGTCCGTCCGTCTGTCCGTCTGTCCGTATG